CTGCAGCCCCCAGTGAAAATCAGTGTGTTCCAGCCCCCAAGCCATTGGTCGATCGGACTCTGTTTGTCCAGCAATAACTTATTCATCAGTCTAAGCTGTGTGCAGGGCTGGGTTCAAGTGTGTCCTGGCATGGCAATCCAAGGCGAGCTACGGGACAGAGCGGCAGAGCACCTGTGGGATCCTCAGCACCGGACTGTGGGGCAGGCAAGGTTGTGATCATCCATAATTGTCTCCAGCTTTTCCCTTTGTCCACGAGAATCTGGAGATGAGTATTTAAGTCTGAGGATCAACTTGAGTCTTCAACATCTCCAAACCTCAGAAAGGATCTTGACTACCTAAGACCTGCGTTATGTCCAACCAAAACCACTCCAGATTTAACTTATTTAGCACATCCTGGTAATGCGAAAACCTTCAAAAATCAGTCAGCATTTCGCCACCTAGAACTCCTTATTCCTTTTCCTTCTGGAGGTCTACTCTTCAAAGACTGTTGCTTGTCTATCAATCAGTACTAAGTAATTATAAAAAAAAAAAAAAAAAGACCAAAGGGGGTCACCAAATGGTGTAGTGGTTACATCGCTGGACGCCCACATGGCTGACCATGGATTGAGCCCCAGACCTGGTAGCTTAAAACTCATGCTGAGCACTTATGCAGATGCGCCAAAGATCCCAGGAGGAGAATGGAAGAGAAGGGATTGAGGCGTGGCCATCCCCTCTGGGGGGAGATTCTCATTTTCTGTCTCTGTCTCTCTATCTCTCTGGTGAGTGCATGCACCCTATAGCAAAAAAAATCTCTCTTTAAAAAAAAAAAAGAAAGAAGAAGAAAGAAAAAGGAGAGATTACCAGCTGACTGTTCAAGCCCAAAACAATGTGAAGCTTTTAGAGGGGTGACAGACTTACCAATTTCTAACCTCTATCTCTATCCAGGTTGATCCCCAATGGCCCGGGGCCTCTGTGTTGGGGAGGAGTGGCTCTGCTGAAGCCTCACACTGCACTCCAGAAGAGACAGTCAAACAGACCAGCAGCAGGGCCCAGGGTGAAGCCAGGTCCCCAGGTCCCCAGGTCCCCAGGTGAGAGTGCACCCCCTCTATGCCACACAATGCGTCTTCCTTCTTCTGGCCTTTCAGGCAGGTTTGATGATGGAGGAGGAGCTGAGCGGATCCCCAGATTTCCAACCCCCACATGCTTGCCCACTCTTACCTTGCTCGCAGTTCTCCACTGTACCATACTGCGCCAGCAGGCTGTCCAGTACCTAGGGGCATGGAGAGGAGGCATGGCACTGAGCATCCCAGGCCTGCCATGAAGCAGCCTCGGAAGCACAGGGGCACGGGCAGAGCCTCGGTGGGGACTGAGCTTTCTTTTTTTTGGAACAGCTCACTCGTCCTGGGGCACGGATGTTCACGCTGACAGCAGTCGGGGTGTCCCTGCAGGATGGCACTTGGTCTCTGCCTAAGGTCATTTCTGGGCCATCCGGGCCTCTACATCGACTTCTACCATCACCAAGTCTAGGCTTCAGGGGACATCTTTCCCACCTCCCTAATGGGGATAGCCCAAAAGGTAGAGTCCTGGGCTAAGGGTGAGACCCAACGAGCCCCAGACCCAAGAGGGACACTCCTGGCCTAGTCCCAGACACCACAGGACCAGGGTGGTGGGGGACTCAGGCTGACCCAGACTAACTTTCTAGTCCCACCCCACTAACAGTGCCCCCAGACACTTACTTCCCATCGGAGCTGGGGTGGAATGTTACGGATCTGAATTTTCCGACTCCTGAAATTAAAGAGGAAACAGAGTTAGAGAAAGCTCTGGCTGGTTCAGGGGCCTGTGACCCTTGCAGTTTTGTTTGTTTGTTTAATTGTATTATAAGTTTGATACAGGGGGTGTGTGCTCACTGCAGAGACATACAGAGAGAAATTATCCCCAGGGAGTTTGGCCATGGCACAATCCCTTTTCTTCTCCTCCGTTCTCTTCTTGGGATTTTGGGAACACGGGCCCGCATGTTTTTCAAGCAGCCGGGTATGGGACTCAAACCCTCTGGTCAGCCATGTCTGATCCTGCTGCCTTAACCTCAACACCACCTGTGGGTCCAACCCTGCAGTTTTCTTCTAATCCTTGTTCTAGTTTGTTTTCCAACTTTCTGCTCACACACAATAAGCTTTCAGAAATGGAGATGCAGAGTAAGGGCACCTTGCTTAAAAGAACGAAATTTTTACCAATGTCTACCACAGATAGGAACCCGAATCTGGTGCTCTCAGCAGCTAGGTAACATAATTCCCTAAAAAAAGCAACTGTCTGTCCCATTATTTAGCTTCTCACCCCTTTATTCAGAAAGCATTTGGTATCACTACTGTGTTCTGGGCACTGGGATTAACAGTCAAGAAAGGCTCAACCGCCATGGTGCTGCCATTAAGACTGGAAGCCATATGGCCTACCCTAGTTCAGATCCCCAGGTCAGCGAGAATGAGCACTAGGAGGAGCTGGAGGCCTAGGGGAAGGGACTCGCAGTGTGACAAGATCTTATCGGGAATGTATCTCCCTCCCCTTCTCTGTCATGTGTGCATTATCATTTTTAAAAAAGCTACATAACACATTAATTATAAAGGAATCTAATGACTGTTTACTTGGTTACTTACTTCACGCAGTAGTATGTTCTAGTTGCTGGGGACCCAGCAGTAAATGAAACAAAACACCTGGCTTAAAGGTGCTCACGATGTATCAGGGGGACGTGTATACAAACAGACCCAGCAGAACAGTGCAGTGGGTTAAAGCCTAACACAGACACAGATTTAAATCCATGCCCTGCCTACTAGCTGGTCTTAAAAAGATTATGCTATGTCTTTGAGGTTTGGTTTCCTCCTTTGTAAAACGGGGATAATACCTATTCACAGGGTGGTAGGTGATGTTAGATAATATTTATAAAGAGCTTAGCCAAAGGCTGGGAGTCAGTACTTAAAGTGTAACAATAGCTGCATCTGTGAGTAATACGGTGATGGGAGTGGTTAGTACACACACCGCCCAGCTTCAGGACCACGGGCTTTCCCCCTCCCACTTAACTACCTTCTCCTTCACATTTTTTTCCCTTTTTTTTTTTGAGAGTTTTTTTTCTATAGGGCGTGTGCGCTCACCAGAAAGACACAGACGGAGACAGAAAGCGAGAAATCACCCCCCCAGGGGGATGGCCACGCCGCAATCCCTTCTCCTCCATTCTCCTCTCAGGATTTTGGGCACGCATATACGCCCGGAGTGAGTTTAAGCCATGGGGTTCAGGACTAGAATCCGCAGAACTACATGGGTGTCCAGTGACATAGTCATTACGCTAACTGCTGGTCCCTCTCCTTCACACTTTCCAACTCTCTTTTAAAAATCTCATTTCCCAGGACCAGCAGATGCTGTGGGAGTTAAGGGTGCTGGACTCTCACATGGGCGACTGCAGTTCGAGTCCCGGACCTGGCTGTTTTCTCTGTGTACCTCTCTGGTCAAATTTATTTATTTATTTTTAAATATTTATTTGTATTTAGCTTTATTTATTTATCTATTCCAATTTGATCAGAGAGGGGCAGGGCGAGAACAAGAGTGAGTGAGAGAAAGAGAGAAAGTGAGAAAGCAAGCTGCCAGGTCTGGGACTCAAAACTGTGGTCAGCCATGTGGGAGTCCAGCACCCATAACCACCACGCCACCTGCCGGCCCCATCTGTGGTCACATTTAAATCATTAAAAAGTTAAATGAAATAATTCTTTATAAATAATTTTTTAAAAAATCTCATTTCCCTCAAAAGACTTTCGGGCTCGGAGTAGACTCCCAGGGATGGCACACCTCCCGAATCAATGCCCTAAATCTCTGGGTTTAAGACATTTAAACTGACTTGATGCGTTGGTCAATTGTCCTTTTTATCTTTCTATGTCCTTGATCACAAACTTAGCACAAGGACAAGGTCCAACAAGGTTCTAGTGACTTGAAGAAAAGCTGGACACAGAAGTAGGAAAGTCCAGTTCTGCCCGACTGAGGATTCGTCTGGTTTCAGCCACTGAAGCTTCAGGCCTCAGTACCTTTATCTGGTATGCGATGGGGACCCAAGTCAGCTCCCGCCATGCAGGGAAGAGAGGGTGTTGAAAACATGGGGGACCTGGGAAGAGGTACTAAGCGCTCGCTCAAAATGTACCTATTGGAGCCAGCAGATGGCGCAGCAGTTACGTCACCGGGCTCCCACATGGCCCACCATGGTTTGAGTGCCAGACCCGGACCAGTGGCTTGAAAATCACGTTGGACATGTGTGCATGTGTGCTCAAGATCCCAGGAGGAGAATGGAGAAGGGATTGCAGCATGGCCACCCCTGGGGGGTGATTTCTCACTTTCTCTCTGTCTCTCTCTCTCTCTCTCAGGTGAGCACACATACTCAATGTAAAAAATTCATTAAAATATATATATATATATATATATATATATCCCCCATGGCTGTCCTGGCCCAGCTGGCTCACCTCACCCTGGGAGTTCAAGGATCTCCAGCCAAGGGCAGAAGCGCAGCCCTGTGAGGCTGACCTGCGTGGGAAGGTTCTGAGTTCGTGTCTGAAGGCCACCCTGAGCACATCAGGCGTGCCAATGGCCCTGATGACCCAGAGCTAAGTCCTGGCTGGTGGTGGGTCAGAGTCAGAAACCTGTTTGGGAGTGCTGTCTCTCTATCTGTCTTTCTTACTCATGGTATAAATTATTTTTAAAATATTTTGTTAGGGGCCAGCAGATGGTGTGGTAGTTAAGGGCACTGGACTCTCACATGGCCAACCACAGTTCAAGCCCCAGACCCGGAGGCTTGCTTTCTCACTTTCCCGCTTCTCTCTCTCCCTCTCCCTCTGACCCTCTCTGGTCAAATTAAGAAAAAAAAAAATTAGAAAACATCTCAGCTATAAAACTGAAAGGTAAGGATCTCTAGATTCCTTTTAGTTCTGTCATTCTAAGTGTGGAGAATCTTTATCTGTAAGTGTCATAAGACAATCTGCTTCTGGGGCCAGCAGGTGGTTAAGAAGGTGGATTCTCATATGGCCAACCAGAGTTCGAGTCCTGGACCTGAATGCTTTTGCTTTCTCATTTTCCCTCTCTTTTTCTCCTTCTGGTGAATGCTCCATAGCAAATTAAGAAATAATAATTCATAAAATAAAATAATTATTTAACTTTATGTCTTATTATATCTTTTAAAAATTACTACAGGTCACACACGCTCACCAAAGAGAAAGGGCGAAGTGGGGTAAGAAACCAAGTCGCCAGGTCTGGGACTCAAACCACAGTCACACGTGGGAATCTAGCACTGCAACCACCACACCATCTGCTGGCCCTATAAAATACATAATTCTTCACAAAACAAAAAAGAAGAAAGTCCACTCCTGGGATGAAATACTTGGGAAGGAAGGATGATGTTGAGGAGGCCTCGGTGTGCAGCTCGCGACTTTGGCTGGCTCACCAACTTGATCTAGAGAGGTCAGAGTACAGGAGGACAACATGGTAAGGAGCAGAGACTAATCGATTCCAGGTCCTTGGCTTCCCCAGGCCACCTGCCTGGGATTCAATTCATCAGCCCTCGTGGACCCTGTGAGAGATTTTCCACACAGGCCATGTGGTGACCAAACGGGCAGATTGAAAACGCAGCGACTCTCACAATTAAAGTCAAACTGTCTGGGTGCTGGGGAAAGAAATGATCACACCATAGCAGACTGAGGCCACTGACCTGGTTTAACACCAATGACAGCGACAGCCCTCAGCCACGGCCTCCCTCCAGTGAACAACCCCTTTGGGATGAAGGACAGGGAGGTGGGAGCTTCCTGCCTGCCTGGAGAGCAAACCAATAAAAGCCTACATCAACCCGGATGCTGGAGCCCAGTGTGAAGTGCATTCTTTCAGGAAGGTCTCTCTGTATAATCTAAGGTCAAAGGTCGAAATTTCCCTCCCACTTCAAACCCCCCAGTTTTAGGGCTTTCTTCTGAGAGAGGGCGGAGGGGAAGGAGAAGGGTGGCAGTGGTGAAATCAAATCTCGGCTGGGATGTTAGTCCATATCCTGAAAGCAATGGCAGGCAGATCGTCTGGAATGTCTGGAATGTTCCAGGAGAGAGAGAGGGGGGAGGAGAACAGGGCCACCCAACCAATGAAAGAAAAGACATCCTAGCAGCCTTCCCCCACCCCCAGTCGGCACAAGCTCACCCACCCCTCTAGGGCACACACCCCACCCTGGGAACCCACTCCAGGCCTCCTTTCAGCAAAGCCCCCAGCCCAGATTAAAACACAACTTGGGAGGTGGGAGCACAGGGGAACAGAGGCCATGAAGAACCTCCTTTAAAACCCTTGGCCTGGCTTCTATTAAGTATGGCGTTACCTAATTTGTTTCAGGCGCAACGCACAGGGAGACTGCCGCCAACGGTAACCTGTATGCCTTTCTTCCCTGGACCGGCTGGTGGCATGTCCATGCCACAACACTGACAAAGGCCCAGAGGGGCCTGGCAGGGCACCGTCCCGAGAGCTCAGGGATCCAGCAGAAGCCAACGCACCCTGACTGGCTGCTCCTCTGCACCGCGCCCTAACTTCCTCCTGTGGAAAGCTGATACTGCTGTGTGAGGACTGAAGGGCAGGCATGGGAACAAGGTGCCTGCCATGTAGGAAGCGCTGGTCCGCATCCAAGTCTCCCGACGCACAGAAAAGGCAAGGCGGCAGGTAGGGCTGCCAGTGAGCCATTCCGCAGGATGGCAAGTCGTTATTAAAGTATCTAAAAAGGGGTGTGGGGCAGCAGGTAC